AAAAAAAAAAAAAAAAAAAAAACAAACTATTAAACCCAACGCCATATTACATAAAATCTGGTGACTAAAAATCTGATGGCACTACATAAAAATCTAAAAATCTGGTGACATTACATAAAACTTAATGAGGGACTATAAAACACCGTTTTACTTACCATACTGTTACATCGTACTATATTTAATAATGAAAAATAATATTCTTATCCTAGCCGTCCGAGTCTTCATAAAATAATGCTAATCCCCGACTACAAGGGGCAAAACAAAAAGGGAGAGAGAAAAGAAAAAAATATAATAATAATAATTTTATTTCTTTTTAATAGCATAGGATACAATTAAAATTTTAGGATAAGTTATAAATTATGCTACTTTACAGGAGTCAACAACAACATGCTACTCGTGGGCATCTTGCTGCTGGCTCTCTCGCCTGCTAACTCATTATTGGGCTTTGACTGCGGAGGTCGACACCTCAATATAACGTCCGTTTCACTCCTCAATTCCGGAGATTGCGACCTTGACATCAAAACAACTAACGACACCAGTTTCTACATTCAACTCCTCCAACTGTCGGAATACAACTATGCTGAAGTCATCCAATGCAAAGTGGAAATTCAACGCCACATTTATTATTGCGGTATGCACTCTCACGTATCCATTGTGAGAGGCGGATATTCTACTTATCTAGACAATGTAGGGCGAAGCCACTGTATGCAAATGCATGAAACCGGAGTCGGTAATGTCGGCTTCAACCAAGTAACCAAACTCCTAGTTAACACCACTAACATCCGTGAGTTGATAATGGCAGGAACAGTAAATGCTGACGGAAAATGTACAGGAGGAAAGTATAACGACCCATACGGCAACTTCGACGACGTAGTCGTAATGGCCATCGCAAAAATCACACTGAAATCATCATACGTACCAGTACACCTAAACAGCGGAAAGATCCACTTGAAGTCCGGAACCACTTGCGAGTTAAAAGAAGGACGCTGTGTTGACCCTGATGACGGACACACCTACTGGAACGCCATACCCAGAGCCACCTGCGACCTCCATGCATACGACGTCCTATATGAGAGATTCGCGAAGAAAATCAAAGAAGATACCACACAAACAACCTCACCCACCGTTGACTCCCTCATTTCCAGTGACATTACCTTTGCCCTTATGACTACAAAAGAAACCCCAATTTGCGGTTATATATTACAGCGCACAGAACATCCCAAATTATTCATTGTGGAAACAACAAAGGGGAACGAACCGAAACCCCGAGGCGACATTTCCGTTGACAATCTGGACATTACACTGCGGAGGTCAATTCATTACGGTCAAATGGCGGAATTTCGCGCACAGGATAGGCTTCACGACGCGACGCACGTCGCCCTACAATTCGCAGAGCAACCCCGTCGAGAGAGTGATGAGGGAACTAAGTCGCGCTTTTCGCGCTTACGCGTGCGAAGACCACAGACGGTGGAACGAGATAATACCGCGCGTCGAACAGGTAGTCAACGCGAAAGAGCACTCGAGCACCGGGTTTCCACCCGCGGCGCTTGAGGGCAGACAATGCGATCTGGTCGTTCGTCCACCGGTAACGTTGCGTCCAACAAACACCGAACCCGTAGATCACAAACATGTCACGGAATTAGCTCAGGGTAGACTGCGTAAAATGGCGGCGAAGCGAAAACGCCGGAGCGAAAGGTCGGGAGTCGCGCACGAGTACTCGGTGGGGGAACTCGTATGGATCAAGTCGCATCGCCGAAGCGACCAGCGCCACGCTAAGATCCGCAAACTGTTCCCGTTGTACGAGGGACCGTTCAAGATCGGCGGAAAACCGCATCCCAACGCGTGCGTGGTCGAACGACTAACGGGAGAGAAAATAGGCGCGTTCAACTCTAGACAACTGAGACCTCACAGAGTGCCCGCGTGGCGACCGCAGGAGCCGGTCGACGCGGCCCCGTTTCCCGACGTACAGCCAGGTGAAAGCGTTGAAACGCAGAGTAGCGTGGAACACGATACACCGTATGAACCGTCACAACGCGACGACTATCGGATGTCACCGCAACCCAGCACGAGTCGCGAGACACGTGCGCGAGCGCAAACGGATTGGCGCGAGTCTGGCTCGGGCTCCGACTCGAGCATCGACTACCTGATCCGCCCACGACGGAGACGGAGCATCGAGGACACGTACGAGTCGCCTCCCAACACGGACGACACGTGGAAGCTCGTGCGTGTTCCCCGAAAGAAGCGCGTGAGATGGTTCGACAGTCCGGAGTCTGGCGGAATGGCGACGATGAATGCACCGCCTGTACGCCGCGACACGTCGCCATCTGATAGCGACGACACACCATCAGTCACACGTCAAACGTCCCGTTTTCTCCTTAACCAAAGAAACCGTCGTTTTAACGACGACGAATAAAGGTATCCTTCCGTTTCCATCGTCCCTGGAATCTCGTCGTCGAGACGAGCGAACAAATTAGACCACTGACACATCTCAAGGTGGTCTCCACATTTGTCATTTTACAGCAAAACATGGACCTCAACGAGAGAAAGCGGCGCAACCAACAGCTGCAGCGTCGACTCGAGGATCTCGAGCGCGAGATCGAGGCGAAGAGACGGGAGAAGGAACGGGAGGAGCGCGAAAAACTCGAGAGGCCCGCGAGCTCGAACAACAGATCGCTTCTCGCGAGGCCACTCTGGCTCACATGAGAGCGGGTGTCGACTCGCGCGAGGAGACGCCAAGGGCGCAGATCAGGGAGCAGCAGTGGAGGTCGAGCGGAGAACGACGGGAGACGAGCGACGAACGAGAACCTCAGCCGAGCACGTCTCGAGAGACGCATAGTTGGCAAACTAGGCGAGAGGTACACTGGGAACGTACCGTAGAGGAAGCAGAGTCAACGACGGACGAAGAGTGTCCAAAATGGATCGGCCAATCACCACGCCGAACCCGGACGAAACTGGTCTGGAGCGAAGTGTACTCTTCGTCCTCCTCAAGAACGCCGTCGCCCAAAAAGCGAAAAGAAGACCGAATGCCAGAGACGAAGAACGAAGGCAAGCGAAAACAAGACCCGAAGCTGAGGGCACGAGCAATCGTAAAGCTCAACAGACTCGAGGAGGTGAATACATTCTTAATCCTCGACGCAAAAAGACGACCCGCGACGAAGGTCGACGCTAGCGGTCAGTTGGACACGCGCACTAAGACCAAGGTGCGAAGCGAAGAATTCCACACCAGATGGATAGGCAGAGAAACCAGAACGGGAGGCCATCACCATCGTAAGGCCTCAACGAAGAGAAAGATACAGGAGACTTGGAGGATAAAGGGGCAAGGCGTGCCACCAGGAGAGGCAACTTTGGTGCGCCATGAAAGAGAACGGCGCCGCAAGGCTATGGCGACGGCGGCCCGAAAGACAGGCTTCG